GTTAATATATTATTTTCCCCACTTGATTAGTTTTGTTGACTCTGACCGGTGGAAGTATTATATATACATGTCCTTACGATAACTGCAGGTAGAAAAGACCAAGTTTTATATTACAAAAATAAAAAGAAAAGAAATTCTATTAGGGTTTGGTAGTACATTCATAACTTGCTTTATTATTATTCTTATTACATTAGCAGAAAACTTTGTTCGATGTTTCAACAAAGTAAGATAAGTAAGAATGCTAGAGTTCTTTTTTTAAATGAACTCCATGTAGATGGTGTTTTTGACAATAGGTCTTCTTATAATTTTAACTATTTTTAGTCAAGAAAATTACAATTTGGATAAAATTACCCTAAATAAAATCGACTATTTGTTTGGCTCCATGTCTCAACCCGAAACCTATTAATGGGTCAAGCATGATTAGGTTTGCGCCTCAAATTAACTCATATTCTTTGAGCTTTCCTCACTAAACTATTCATCTTTAGAGTATTCCTTATCAGAAAGAAAAACATTTAAATATTTGAAGCATTTTGAAGTAGTTTTTTATACACAAAGAAAACCTTTGAGCGTTTTAAGCATTTTTAAGCATTTTGGAGTGATTTTTGATATATGAAAAAAAACTTTTGAACATTTTGATAATTTCTTGTCAAGTAGGCATATTTGTTAATTATGTTTTTAAATGGAACATAGTGTATTATTTGAAGTTGTTGATTATGTTAAATGGAGTTCAATAGTTTTGGTGATTTTTAGGCCTTGCATAATTGATTTTTGGGCTTTGAGTGACTAGTTTTTAGGTGTATCGTTAGAAGTTTTTAATCTTGTTAAATGAAATTCAATAGTTTTAGTGGTTTTTAGGCCTTACGTAATTGATTTTTGGATATTGTGTGACTAGTTTTTAAGTATTGCATGATCAATTTTTAAGTATTGAGTGATTAACTTTGGACATTGCGTGATTAGTTTTTAAGTATTCCATGATCGGTTGATATGACATTACGTGACTAGTTAGTAAGGCATTGCGTGATAGTCACGCATTATGTAACTTAGGTATTACTTAAAAATTAGTCACGTAATTCTTAAAAACTAGTTACAGAATGCCTAAAACCAATTACAGAATGCTTAAAAACTAGATATGTAATGATTAAGTCACATAATACCTAAAAATCAATCTTGCAATACTTAAAAATCAATCTAATCAATTTCAATTCTACAACTTTGGAGTTCTATGAATAAACGAATAAACTAAAGAACCTAAAACACATTTTTTTTTCTGCTAAGCCATGAAATTGTGCATTTCATAAAAGATATGTTACACAACTTCATAACCTTCCAAAGCAAGACAAAATATATCCTTATTGAGAGAGATAAAATATTTAAATAATTTAAATATATTATTTAAATTATCAACATAAAAGTATGACAAAAGAGATGCCACAAAGAAAATCCAAAAAGGTCACATGAACACTTTTTTTTCTCTAAGCATGATTTAATTAGTTGAAAGTAAATGTTAAGAGGCTCGATTGGTAGCAATTAAAAAAAAAGATATTAATTCATAAATTTAATTAAGTACATGGTTTCTTTCATCGAGTATATTGGCCATCATTAATGTGGTTGTACCTGTTTTACAAAGTTTAGAATTAAATCCCGTCTTTATAAGTCATTGAAGGTTGTCAAAACAGAGTTCCAAAGCCAACCATCATTGACTAAATATCCAAAAAGGAACTATAGTCAGTGAAATGGTGTTTGCTGTCACTATTTATTGTTACTTTGCATATATTTATCACGGGGAAAAAATAATTATTGGTAAGTACTACATCTACTTTTATTAATTTAATTGTTG